AAATCTCCACCACTGGCAAATTATTTCCCTACCCGTATGGTTATGGGTTCCGACCTCATAAAATTACTATACGTTTTAAATTGTTTATATATACACAACATTACAAGAGTTCAACCCATCTACCGTGTATGTGCAATCAGTTTCAAGTTTGAACACTGAACGTCAACTTACTGTAAGCTGTGTTCAAGGAATGTTCCGGTTATATTCGGTGTTTCCATGACAGCAGCGATTCGACTCTAAACCTTGAGGTAAGCAAGCAGTGAAACCTAGTTGTTTTGCAAAACTTTCCATTAATATTTAGCTCGGCTTGTGTGTGTGTATATACATACATACATATAAATTTATATATATATATATGTGTGTGTGTGTGTGTGTATTTACATATATATAAGCATATATATATGTATATACAGATACATACACACATATATTTATATATACATATGTGTGTGTGTATATATATATATTTATATACATATATATATATATATATGCTTATATATATACACTCACATATATGTATACATATATATACATATAGATAAGCATATATATATATATGTATATATATATATATATATATGTGTGTGTGTGTGTGTGTGTGTATACAGACACATTAGTTAGTTAGTCTTTCCTCTTGTGTCGAGTGCGGCACATAGGGCAGAGGTCGCGACTCTCCATGCACGGCGGTCCGTTGCAATCCGTTGTAGGTCTTGGATGTTTGAGTGGCCCATGAGCGAGCCTTCCCTGATGATAGTTCTACGTAGGGTTTCCCTTGGTCTTCCACGAGAGCTTTTCCCCTGTGGTGTCCAAATGAGGGCTTGGTAAGGAAGTCTTGATTTATCCATTCTAAGGGCGTGGCCGACATAGTTCCAGCGGCGTTTTCGTATAAAATTAGACACATACTCTTGCCTGGATTCTTGCCTTATCTGTGTATTGGTTCGGAAATCTGACCATTTGAAATTTAGTATTCTTCTAAGGCATTTATTTTCAAAACTGTCTAATTTTGTGTCTAGAGTTTTTGTTGATTTCCAGCTCTCGCATCCATAGGTTAGTACTGGAATCACACAAGAATTGAAGATCTTGAGTTTTGTGTGTTTGCTAAGTGTCTTTGATTTCCAGATGTTAGACAGTTTATTGAAGGCACTAGATGCCAGTGCTATTCTAAATGATATTTCTGGTGCGGTATCTCCTGTAGATGACATCTTGCTTCCTAGATAAGTGAAACTGTTGACTTTTTCAAGGCTGTTGTTGTTCAGCGTGATATCAACTGAACTGTTGGTAAGGTCTAGAATTTTTGTTTTTGCGGTGTTAATTTGGAGTCCAATTTGTTCTGAGAAATTCTGGAGTCGATTGATTTTTTCTTGGGCGTCTGTGTGTTCTGAACTCAGGAGTGCTATGTCGTCGGCGAAGTCTAGGTCTTCCGGAATTTTGTCAACCCATGTAATGCCTAAATTTGCGTTATTTATGCACTTGCGCATGACCCAGTCGATTGCTATACCAAAAAGCATTGGCGATAGGACACAGCCTTGCTTCACTCCTGTTTCAACCAGTCAGAATTGCCGTAATCAGTTCTTACACAGCATCGTGTTTCATTATAAAAAGATTTTATGATGTTGATATATTTGATGGGGAAACCAAAGATGTTAAGCAATTTCCAGAGTGTTGGACGATGGATACTGTCGAAGGCTTTTTGAAAGTCGACAAAGTTGATCAATAATTTCGACTGGAATTCTGTAGAATCTTCAACAATTATTCTAAGAGTAAAGATGTGGTCTATGCATGACCGCTTGGATCTAAAACCGGCTTGTTCTTCCCTTAATCTTTCATCTATGGATTTTTTCAATCTTTCTAGTAGCATACTACAAAATAGTTTCCATGGTATCGAAAGCAGGGTGATGCCTCTCCAGTTGTTACAATCGGATAAATCACCTTTTTTAGGTAATTTGAAGATTACACCATCTTTCCATTGTTGTGGTGGGTATTCGTTTTGCCAGACTTCATCCATCAGCTGGAGCAAATGTTGCAGAGTGTTTTCATCCGCTGCTTTGAGCATTTCCCCTGAGATGTTGTCCTCTCTGGTAGCTTTGTTTATTCTTAATTTTTTAATAGCTGTTTTAATCTCCTCTATTGTGAATGACTCGCTGGAGGCAATTAGTGTTGGTGTAATAATTTCTTCTTCTAAATTGGGAATGATGTCAGGATTTGGCCTATTTAATATTTCCTTGAAATGTTCTGCCCATCGCTTTGTTTGTTGGTCGTCGGATAGCAGTAGTTTACCCTGCTTGTCTTTAATGGGTGTATTTAGTGTAGGTGAGTATACAGACACATACATACACATATATTTATATATACATATGTGTGTGTGTATATATATATATATATATATACTTATATATATATATATATATATATATATATATATATATATATATATATATATATATATATATATATATATATATATATATATATATATATATATATATATATATATATATATATATATACACTCACATATTTGTATACATATATATATACATATAGATAAGCATATATATACATTTAGATAAGCATATATATATGTATATGTATATATATATATATATATATATATATATATATATATATATATATATATATATATATATATATATATATATATATATATATATATATATATATATATATATATATATATATATATATATATATATATATATATACACATACATACATACATACATACATACATACATACATACATACATACATACATATATATATATATATATATATATATATATATATATATATATATATATATATATATATATATATATATATATATATATATATACATATGTATACACAGTACAACCTCACTTAACGGGCACCTCTCATAACGAGTAATTTGCATAACGAGCAAAAAAATCATTTAAAAAAAATGACTTGCTTAACGAACGAGGTTTCACATAACGAGTGGCGAGGAGAGGGGAAGTCACAAATTGTGCTCATGTTACATCAGTCTGTGTTTAGCACTCGTTCCAGGAGCATCGTAGTGTTGCTTGTGATCGCACATTTTCTCAAAGACCCCTGCAGCACGTCCTCGTCGTGCGCCACGGATAATGTCTCAAATGAGCATTAACAGAGCTGTCAGGGGATCTCAGAGTTTGGCGGCCCCTAGAGGTGATGTGTCCTTGTGGCTCTCATCAGCCCGCCCCAAAACGCATGGGTGAAAAAGGTTATCAAAACTCATTAGGAACATGAGTATGCTTGCCAAACGTACAGCTAAAATTACAACCCTCGGTTAAAATATTTCGAAGTGAAAAGAACATTGTTCTGCTGAGACTCAACCCTTGACCTAGAGATTTACCCGCAGCACAGACGAGTAACATCTCCTGTGGGTGGCGTCTCGCAGCAAGAGTCTACCCATATACATCCTCTGTTAACCCTCAATGTCGTCGCCACCGCGCTGAGGTACACCACAACAGCAACAGCCCATCGGATGGCTAAGCCTAAATGTCCAACAAAACTAGATCCTACGGCACACGAGTAAGCTCAAAATATGACCATCACAAATTGTATTGAACGGCAAAAGACCAAATGTCCACACCCAAAGAACCCACTCGCCCGAATGCTGGGACCAAACTGACAACGATATGCCTGACGCAGGATGTTAAATCCTGCCGGGCTGACAGCTTGTCAAAGAATAATAATGTACACCTATTCATGTGGTCACAAAAGTCCAGAACCCACGGGCTGCTCCCCGCTGAATTCCAGAGGGCGCAGCCCTTGTCGAGCAGGAGGCCTAATACGGTTGTGAGGTTAAGCAGGCATGTGCAGAACGTGAGGATTCCTTGGGTGAGCCCAGAACCAGAGCGCCATGTGCTGGCTCTGCATACATGGAAGCCTCCTTGGATGGCGGGGAATGCCCATGATCTGCCCCTGCCTTCCCTTGAGGGCCAACCGTTCCACAGGGGGCTACCCCAAAGGGGTACTCCAGGGACCATACCTGCGGAGAAGGAGACAAAGTGGACACCACACAAATCAGGCAACCTCTTGACCCACACAAAACAATGGCCACAGTCATCCTAGAAATAGGCCTGACGTCCTCCTTCGAAGTCGGAGTACAGCTGCCCATGAGGCAGGGAACAATAAAACGGTTGTACACGCAAAACTCAGGTTCAGGTAAAAGCCAAAAGTCCAAGCGGACGATTAACCGGGACCTTCCGCCGGAATTCACAGCCGGTGAAGGATGAAAAGAAGAAGACTCTCAAATTTTTTTCAAATGAAAATGCGGTGTCGCATTTTCGCCAAATTTTAAAGCGTTGGCAAAAACAAATGTCTCTAGACATCCTTCTAGTAACAAAAAAAAATAATTAGCTTTTTTCATCATGGAACGCATTATCGTATTTTACATTAATTTAAATGAGAATTTTTTTTCACATAATGAGTGTTTCACTTAACGAGTATGATTCTGGAACGAATTAGGCTCGTTAAACGAGGTTCCACTGTATATATACATTATATATATATATATGGTGGACGATGTGGTCACCATCAAACCGGCTGCCTTTACTTCCCAGGACCGCACCTGGTAACTCTTCTAGGCTAGGTCGATCTGGGAGTCAAGGTCATTTTTGAAAACATTTCAGCTCCGTCAGGACACGAACCCATGACCTTCCAAACTGCAGGTGGGCGTCTAGCCGCCAACGCCACGGTGACTCCCACATACACATATAAGTATGTATATATGTACATATATATATATATATATATATATATATATATATATATATATATATATATATATATATATATATATATATATATATATATATATATATATGTGTGTGTTTGTGTGTGAGTGTGTGTACATATATATTTATACAACATATATATCCATCCATGTTTCTCTCCACATTACATTAAACAGATGCTCAGAGCAAGAAGTTACAACTGATGTTAAATATTTAAACTTTCACAAAACTGTAATTATGGGATCCGCCAGTAGCTCAATGAGTTCTGTTAAACTACATGAAACAAGACCCACCATGACTTCTACAAACAGGTCAGGGTCCCAACTCCCACCATCAGGTAAGTTTTTCATTTGAATGTCTTTTTGTTGCAATGTGGTCCATTTTTATAATTGTGTAGCAGCATAAATAACAATTGAAATCTTATTTGTGTTGTCAACTACAATCACTTCATAAAAGAGAAGGTTCTATGCTACACATTTTTGACTGAATCATGAATATATGTGTCTGTATATATGCTTCTATGTATGCTTTACTCTCCTTCTTCTCTCTCTTTCTCTCCACAGAAACCCACACATGCACATTTTCCACTCCAGATTACAAGGGGTGAATAAATTATTCATTGTGTCCTGCTTATAATTTTTTTTAGATATCCCACTTAAATGTATGGTGTGTGCGAGTGTGCTGTGTAGACAAGTGTGTGTGTGTATATATATACTAGCTCTACCCGGCCACGCGTTGCTGTGGCCCAGAATGGTGTTAGTGAAGAGGAAAGAAAATAGCTCTCAGCTAACAGTGTCTGTCATATCCACCCTCCCCTCCTCTACCCTTGATGAAGTCATATCTCCCTCTCCGAAGGATTGTAAAATACTCAATAATAGTTAAGAAATGAGAACTTTAAAAAAATATTTTGAGACCTCTCAGCTAACTGTGTCTGTCATATCCCCCCTCCCCTCCTCTACCCTTGATGAAGTCATATCTCCCTCTCCGAAGGATCGAAAAATACTCAATGGCAAATATATTAAAATATAAATAGTTAAGAAATGAGAACTTTACAAAAATATTTTGAGACCTCTCAGCTAACTGTGTCTGTCAGAACCCCCCCCCCCCCTCCCCCCTAACTTTCCACCAGTCATATCTCCCTCTCCGTAGGATTGAAAAATCATCACCTGGCGAAATTATTAAAATAGAAATAGTTAAAAAATTAGGACATTCAAATAATATTTTAAGCTCTCTCAGCTAAGTGTGACTGGTATATAAACTCCCCCCCCCCCCCCCCCAATCATATCTCCCTCTCCGGAAGATTGGAAAATGATCACCTGGCGAAGTCATATCTCCGTCTCTAAAGGATTCCAAAACAAAATCATCCATGGGGAAATTATTAAAATAGAAATGGTTAAGAAATTAGAACTTTAATATGATATTTTAAGCCCTCTCAGCTAACTGTGTCTGGCATAATCCCCCCCCCCCCCCCCCCCTTCAATCATATAATCCTCTCCAAAGGATGGGAAAGTCACCATGTGACGAAATATTTTAACTAAATTGAGCTTGGCATCTGTGTCCACCCAGACCTAAATAGGCAGCACTAACTTGTACTGAGAAGTAAATGTCACCAGTGTAACAGCTACCACATCCCCCATCTAGTACCAGTACTACTGCAACCACTACCATACAATAACAAAAACTGTCACTACAGTGTAGGTCGGTGTAGAAAAGAGGAGTTAGCGCTGCATGCTTTCGCCACAGACTATTTAGTGTCATTTTGCCCCCGGCATAGAAAACAACTTCATCACATAACCAGTGATGGAACCCACAGTAAAAAGTACACTATACTCACGAATAGTGGAGAAAAATACCCCGCACCTGTCATCTCTCCCTCCCCGAAGGAAGGATTTTTAACTGACCTTGGCACCTGTGTCCACCCAAACTAAACTGGACTGTGAGCCATCTTAGTTAACAGTTTCTGTCATCGCCGAATAGTTTTTGATCGAGAAGCCTAATTGGGACTTAACTGAAATCGGATGTCTTTAGGCGAAAAGGCGCAGATATTGTAGCCTAGCTTTAAACCACAACACAACCTGGCAACCACCCTTTTAAGGAAAAAAGAACAATTATCACATAGGGGGGAATCGAACACAGGTCATCCGCGTGAAGGATGGAATACTTATAACTATACTACCAAAGACTGAAGAGTTTAGGTCAGATATCTCAGCCTAGCTGTAAACCACAACACAACGTGCCAACGGCTCTCTCGAGGGCAAATGAAGATTACCCGTGACATGACATTTGAGCATCACGTAGCCGCTGTCGCAGGCTAGCGGTAAACCCCAAAACCGAAAAAAGAGGTGTAGATATCGCAACCTAGCCATAAACCACAACACAATGTGCCAACTGCCCAGTTAAGGGCTAAAAAAAAATATATCACCTGGCAGGGAATCGAACGCAGGTCAACCGCATGATAGGCAAAATATTTACAACTACGCTACCAAACACACAAGCAGATAGTGAAAATGAAATTATATAGTAATGCGAAGTTCAATAAGAGCTCAGCAGTCAAAAATGGTCAATCAACTAAAAACAAATCCAAGCCGGCAATGAAGCAAAAAATGATTTGACCATTGCTGGAGCTATGTAGTTTGTGGTTTGTGCAATTTTCTGAAAAAAAAATCAGGCTTTGAGTCAAAGGCAACGTTGAGTAAAAATTTGAAAGCAATCGGTTCAGTAGTTTCTGAGTTCATAGTTAACTAACTCGGAAAATTAACATTTTTATTAATATATATTTATATATATGTGTGTGTGTGTGTGTGTGTGCGTGCGTGCGTGTGTGTGTGTGTGTGTGTGTGCACACACACACACACATACACACATTCATGAATGTGAATATATAAGTGGGATGTTTAATGTATAACTATATAAATATATTTGTAAATAAAAATGTTGTCACAAATATTTAATATATTTTTCAGGACAAGCTCAAGTTTCCACATTTAGTTTGCCACAGTCACTAAAAGACAACATAATAAATGAGAGTGTGCATGCAGATACCAGAGAATCTGCAACAGATAGGAATGAGATTATCACCAGAAATGATAACATATCGAATTTGAAGACTGATTCAGTTGATGAGAACTATGAGAAAACTTCACAATCTTTGTTTGAAGAAGATCGTTTAGATAACAAAAAGGAAGAGGATGAAGACACTTCATGTTCAGAATTTGAAAGAACACTATCAGAACTTGATTTATCTGAAGCAGAGTTACAATCTGCATTAAAACTGTTCAAAGAGCACTCTAAATTGAGAAAGGATATGAAAAAGGCCACTGAGTGTATGCTGTCCTTTAAAAGTTCATCACATATGAGGAGTTTACTTAAGGAACTGGAGCAAATATTCTTTCACCTTAGTCATACAGAACGAACGACTTTTGGAGACTTCTTAAGTTGTCTGAAGTTTGGTAAAGAGAGTTATGCCAAATATGTGAGCTTTTTGAGAGCAGAAAACTCAGAACATTTTACTGACTCATTTATTGAAAATGATGAAAATGATAATCTGTATATTGTACAAATATTAATTTCCTTTCGAAGTCTATGGTGGAATTTCTCTGACTGTAGCATTATGTTTGGATCACAGCTTGTTTCAGAAATAGGTATAATTCAAGAACTAATTCACAATATAGTTAGCTTAACAGGAGTTGAAGGAAACAAACTGGTATGTAAAGTGACATTTATTTTTTCTTGGACATACATAAGTTTTATCATTTGATTTCTTGGTGAACAGTAGATAGTTATATGTTATACTCCTCTTTGTTTTTAATACCAAGCCCATAATTATTGTAATGCCATGAACATAATTAAATCTGAAGGATTACTTTGACCTGGCACTGTTTTATAATATTTTTAAAAAAAATGTGTCCAAAAGTTGACAAAAGCCCTGTAGTTACCATTTGCACAGCTGCATATACTTACTTACTACTTAGTCGCTCCTCTTCTACCTTACAGTTTGGAGGTTTGCCAGAGAGATCGCCAGACGTCTCTATCAGCAGTTTTCTTTCTGGCTTTGTTCCATTCCAGTCCTCTGTCAGTTAATGACTGTCAGATGTTGTCTTCCCAGCGGATCCTGGGTCGTCCGGGAGGTCTGGTTCCCTGGTTCTTAGCCTCCCATGCTTGCCATGGTGGCCGATTTTCTCCCATTCTGCATACATGTCCAAACCATCGTGACTGATCCACTCGGGTTTGTAAGGGCTGGGTATCAAGATCTTGACGTATTGTCTGATTGCGGACTTTGTCCCTTCTTATCACTTGGACCACCTTAAGATACCTCATTTCCGAGGCCTGTAGCTGGCTTCTGTGAGCTGTTGTCATTACCCATGACTCACACCCATAGGTCAGGACTGGTACATAGGTAGAGCGGTAAACGGCCATTTTCGTCCTCTTGCCAATTTCTCTTTTGCTAAGAAACCCTCGGTTTATGGCCTGGAAGAGTCTCCTAGCAGTTGCTTTCCGTGTAGCCAGCTCAGTCTTAATGCCTCCGTTTCGGTCTAATACAACTCCAAGGTATTTGAACTGGTTAACCTTCACCAATGCATACTTTTTCATCATGATCTGGTGTTTCTTCACCTCTCTTGAGATCACCATGGTTTTAGTTTTGGAGATACTGATGGTCATCCCTCTCTTTTTAAGCTCTTCCTTCCAGACGAGTAAGTTGGACTGAAGGTGTGCCTCTGATTTAGCTATCAGGGCCACATTGTCTGCAAATGCCAGCTCTGATATACAGATTGGTCTCATCTTCCAGTACCCTACAGAGTATTCTTTGTCTTCTCCTTACAGGTCTTGATGACATCATCCATCATAAGAATGAAGAGTTAAGGTGAGAGAATATCACCTTGTCTAACACCGCTGGTGGTCTTAAACTCTTCTGACTTTTGGTCTGCCGTTCTTACATAATTTCTGCACCTTTTGTAGAAACTCTGTATTGCACTGATCAGGGTTGCTGGGATGTTTTTCCCTGCCAAGCAGTCCCAGAGCTTGTTCCATTGTACCTTGTCAAATGCCTTTTCCAGTTCCAAAAAACGTAGGTGCATCTCACTCTTATATTCAAGGGCTTTTTCACTCATCTGTCTCAGTGTGAAGATAAGGTCTTGAGTACTTTGGTTTGCTCTGAAGCCGCATTGGGCCTCGTCCAGCTGTGGCTCTACCAGACTTCTAAGTCTTTGCTCAAGAATTCTAGAGTAACTTTTACCAGGAACTCTAAGGAGGGATATGCCTCTGTGGTTTTCACATTGTCTGTTATCACCTTTTTTAAATATAGGTATAATGATGGCAATCTCCCAATCTTTTGGTATAGTTTTGCTACACCAGGCTGCCTGGAGAACCTTTAGTAGAAGGCGCTCCCCTGCGACACCCATATATTTGACCATCTCTGGTGTTATACCATCATGACCTGCTGCTTTTCCCAGCTTAATTGTCTCAATAGCTGCCTTCAATTCTTCCATCCTGATGTTATCTTCCCCATGATTGATTTCCTTCTCAGCAGTGAGGTCCATTATTTCTGGGTCATGACTTCCCTCAATGCCGAGGAGCTCTGAGAAGTATTCTTTCCATCTGCCCATGATATCATTTGTAAAATTAAGCAGAGCCCCTTTCTTGTCTTTTATGAATTTCAGTGGACACTCTTTCTCCTTCCTCATGTTTTTGAGGATCTTGTAGAACAGTTTTTGGTTTTCTCTTGCATTCTTTTCCAACTTTTCTCCAAACTCTTCCCATGATTTCTGTTTTGCTTTAAGCACAATGTTTTTGGTCTCCATTCAGAGTGCCACATATTGTTTATGTTTCTCTATTTCTTCAGCTGTGTTCCTTCTTCTTCTTCTTCTTCTGCCTTTCTATCTCCCAATGGAGCATAGGCCCTCAACCAACTCATACCAAGTCATTCTATCCTTCACCATTGCTGTGTTCCTGGCTGCCAGGTATTGCTTCCATGCCCTTTTCTTTTCACCTATTTTCAATTTGACTTCTTCCGTCCACCAAGGTGTCCTATGTCCCCGCCTTCCACTTGGGACTTCACCACATGCTTCTACTGCAGCTGCTGTGAGGATATTCTTGAATCTGCCCCAGAGTGTTTCAGTGTCCTCTGATGATTCTTCTTCAGTTTCTATTGCTTTCACTATTAGCTCCTGGTATCTAGCCTTAAAATCTAGCTCTCTTAGCTTGTATGCCTTAATCCTCATACCTTCTTGGTTGCTTGGTTTCTTGCATGGTTGTCGGTGTTGCCTTGTTGGAGCAGTTCTTTCAGTTGTTCTCTTTATTGTGACCAGATAGTGGTCACTTCCAATCTCTGGTCCTCTCATGACTCTGGCATCTCTCACAAACTTGAATGAACCTTTCCTAACTATGGCATAGTCAATAATGGATTTTTCATTCTTTGAAGGTTCACATCTTGTGTATGCATGTATACACTTGTGGGGGAATTTTGTGTTTATAATTACAAGGTTCTGTTCCCTGCAGAATCTGAGAAGTCGCTTGCCATTATCATTCAAAACATCTTCACCATATCTTCCGATCACTCCACCCCATCTAGAGTGATCATTTCCTACTCTGTCATTTAGATCTCCTAGGAGGATAATTTCATCGTGACAGTCATCTATGGTCCTTTGGAGCAGTTCAAAGAATTCTTCTTTAACATCTACTCGCTCATCTTCATTTGGCCCGTACACTATGACAATATTGACAATTTAATCTTCTTCTTTCAGATCTAACACCATAATTCGTTCTGAGATGAATTTCTATCCCTTGATGTTACTAACTTGATTCCTGGCCACAATACAGCCAACACCTCCCTTGGCTCTCTCCGTCACAGGGACACCACTGTAGAGCAGCATACTTTCATCATGATCTGTGATTCCTTGCCCTCTTTTTCTTGGTTTCAGTCAGAGCCAAGACTCCTAATTTTGCTTTCCTTATCTCCCCTACTAACTCGGTTTCCTACCTGTTAATGCCTCTTTTGTTCCATAAATCGTAGTCCGTAAGCCATGCCAGTTCGTCGCCGTTAAGATCCGTCCAGTTTTCTCTTTGTAGTTACTTGTAATCGTGGTTTAAGGCAAACAGGTGATTGGCCTGTTGTGCCTTTGCATGGTGGAGGGGCTGCCTCCTTTTGGCCTCCATTCAGGCCGTCTGGCTAATTCATGGTTACCGACTACTTCTGGAGACGCATGAAGCACTCAGGTTCAGCCAGACTCTCATCCTTTCACAGCCGGGCTTGGCACCTGTCTTAGCGGAGTTAGCTGCATATACACTGTTTAATAAGATGTTCTTGCGGTCTGACTGAGCTACAGTGTATGATTTGCTGAGACTGCAGTCTGTGTCAGTTTTTCTGCAAAGAACAGTAATGGACATTCTGAACGGTTTTTTGTTAGCAGAGGAACAGAGCAACTGTAGGATGACCTGTTTGCTTTGAAGTTGGAAATAATCTGATTACCAGGCTCAGTTAAAAACACTTTAAGGTGGTGAAAATATGGGAAGGTTTATAAAGAATGATGGAAACAATACATTTTTACAACCAATATTTTAACAGGCTCTTTCTTCATAACAGAAATTTTTTTACTTGTGCACAACATTTTCCAGTTGTTAAGCAATATTTTTTAATGTGCCTAGATAATGAATTAATTTTTTTTTGTTTCAACTTTTTGTCTAGTTATTTTATTATTTTTTTAAATTTGTCAATGTGTTCTTGTCATTCTTGAACTCTTTAAGTCCCATGCAACAGGTGATACATAAAAGACTTTTCGGCGCGAAACAAAGCCATCGCATAATGGGTTCACCCACATTTTACTAATGGTCAGAGCAACTAAATAAATCTGGCGTCCTTATATACTACTTCCACTGCATAATTTGCCGGTTCGAAAGCTGTGCAATCAAGACTTTTCAAGTGGTCATTTATTCCCTCAAGCATTTATTGCAAGACAACATAGGGTTACAAGAATTATAAATCTGCAAATCTGCATCTTATAGAAGATTTTTGGAAATAATTTGCTGATTGTCCTTGATTCACTTCCAGGGTTTCCTTATGTAGCCCCATTTTAGGGGAATAAAGACGAGGCAACAAGCATGTAATAAAAAGTGACTAATTAGGGATATTTTCTTTGAAACTGGGATGTATCTGCCTGAGAGTGGAGGAACTATTAGTCTGCAAACAAATAACCTAAGTCTGTAAAACGTATGTGCATGCAAAACTCAAGTTATGGAAAAAGACCAAAGTGGAGAAGCAAATTAACAACCAGTTTACAGCTGGTGAATGTCAAATATTCCTTCGTCCTTCTTAGGACGTAATTTTTTGTTATTTGAAGCCCCACTCTGGCTTTTGCCAGGGGCCGCAATATAGGCAGGTCATCAATATGGCCAATTGTCTGAACGCGGTTTCTGGGACCTCTCCACGGTGATCCTCATCCGCATGATGGCACTTTGTGTCATCGGGTGTTTATCGCTTGTGTGATGTCCTAGTGGGGTAGAAAGTCAGTCAGTCAGTCTGGTGAATGTCAAAAAGAACGCAGAGACTTCCAGGATTGACTAAGCATTTGACATTAGTATTTAGTATCCTAATTTTATTAACTGTTTTATTTTTATATAGTTATACTAAATATTGCATTTTCTTTCATCATTAGAAACATTCTTTCACATTTGAATCAGCAGTGGGCATTCTCCACAATTTAGCAAAACTGCCAGGCTCACGACAGACATTTAGAGACATGAAATTAGTGGAAATTTTGGCCAAGTTTCTCAACTTTGAGAATCAACCAAGTAAGCTGAAAAACAAAATGTTGACTAGATTTAATTACTTTGTTAAAAAATAGGATTGTAAAATATATAGCTAAATAAATGTAAACATAACAATCATGTGCTCATGATAATTTTGATTTGATTTTATCATCATTATTTGGTCTACCCATATTCTGTTTATTTTCATTGTTTATTAGGTAACTAAAGTAAATGACCTCATTGGTGCATAAGGCATGTGGTGCTAGATCAATATTTTAATAGACCAATTGACATGATTAGCCAGCGCAAATGACTGAACCAGAACAAGATGAAAACAATGAAGAAGACTCAGAAGAGATCCCAGTCATTACAGACACAGAACAGTCAGATGGAGAGATCATATCCGATGAAGAATATACACAAGCAGAGCAGGAGTTTCCGACTGCTAGCAGTGCACCGCCCGAAGAACCCGCACCGTACGTCTTCGATAAGGAACAATTCCTTAGAGACCAGGAAGAACACTACGCACTAGAGAACTGCCAAGTATGGAACGCAGAACAGCAAAAATGGGGCCCACTACAAACCACTCCCACCCAGAGAAACAACCGAGGAAGACGATGACGACGCTACTAACGTAGCAGAAGAGAAAAACCCAAGCCGCCATCTTCCAGGAAAAACCAGCCTGCCAAACGAATGACGCCAGAACGCCACCAGAACCTGACAGCAGAAACCAGACCCCACCCATTCCGTTCCAGGCCACCCAGGCACATATAGCTGTCCTTCTCAGGACTGCCATTTCCACTCCCAAAACTTGCAAGCCGCCCGCCAAGCCCACGCTGCTGACATGATGCAGCAACTAAAAGGAAACTCAGGCGAAAATCTTCGCCACAAAAGAAAGAAATTCAAGCTCAGATAGCAAATAACCTGTCCTTGAGAAAACAGGCCATCAGGCGGTTAAAAAAGAACCAAGCTTTTCTTTTTTGTTCTTTTCCAACGAACGAACGATGATTAGCCAACTTTTCTTCCTAAGACTTTTCCTGGTACCTATATGTATAAACTCCACCGAAAAGTACTGAGTAGATGGCTTTTGATTGTCATAAACATTTTTTGAAATTTCCCCAGGGGGAAATGTTCTATTACTTAGGTCAAGACTTTCTTGAGTTTTCTGAGATATCGTACACCATTGTAAGAAATAATCTCACTACATGCCTACCATACCCAAGCTATTTTTTTCTGGCAGGACGCAATGGTACGCAGTACCAGCTGCTTTTTTTTCAGCATAATGTTTTCAGATACCTTTGTTAATAGACACTTGTGAGTACCAGCACCTTTTTCAAGATACTTTGTAACTAGTACTGACACTTTTTTCTAGAAAAAAGCCCTGACTGTATCACTGTGTATATTTAACTCATTCAATAACACACAGTTTCACCATGCATTTGTTGGTTTTAACTGGTATAATATATATTTTTCTCAACTCTTTGTGGTCCAGCTAATTGTGAGACTAATCCACTCTGTCTTTCTTCTTTTTCTTTTGTCGTCTCACTGATACTAGGCTGTAGCTCAGTGAGATAGTTTTCTGTACGTTTCTTGTGCTTCTCAAGTGGTTTTGATGGATTTGTTTATCTTTTTGCAGGTTTCAGCTATACCATTTATGCAAATTTTTCTTGGTCTTTCCCCTGCCTTCCTGCCAGATGTTCTGCTGTAAAAAGTCTCATATTTTGCTTGGTATGGCTGCATTCTCACAACATGGCCAGACCATTTCATTGATTGTCTATTAACATAATTCTTGTTTAAACCTCTTTATCCACTCTGTATCTTTTGATAATTAACCTGTATCAGCAGTTTATTCTCTTATTCTGTCCTGTTGTGTAATTATATTAAGCCCTCAGGTACATAGTTTTATTACTAAAACTAACAGCCTCTCAGTATGTTTTTAGGTAACAAAAGCCTAGTACTTCTTTTCACTAGATACTGTTCTGCCTTTGAGTGTCAAGTTTTGAAGAGCATCTGGTGTGAGCGTTTGTGTGTGGACTATACATGTGCTATACATTCAATGCCTCAGATTGAATGAATTTCTACCCCACCAGGACATCACACAAGCGATAAACACCCGATGACACAAAGTGCCACCATGCGGATGAGGATCGCCGTGGAGAGGTCCCAGAAACCGCGTTCAGACATTTGGCCATATTTATGGCCTGCCTATATTGCGGCCCCTGGCAAAAGCCAGAGTAGGGCTTCAAATGACAAAAAATTTCGTCCTGAAAAGGACGAAACTGGATTATAATTTATGCCTCAGATTTTCCATCAATCATTTATATACATGGGACACCACTAGGTCTACTGCCATTGTGCCTAGTGACAGGGCTCTCTGTGGTTCACTCTCTTGTAGTAGTCTTCAAACAACATGTCTAAACCTATTAATTTGGTATCTCTTGAGGTCTCAGTCTAATGGAGCTCTAGTGGTATGGATCCATCTGGTTAATTATACCCTGAGATTGTGACAGGCCCAGAAAGCCAACAGTGGATAACAACTTGCTCAAAGAAGAAGAGTAGCCTAGTAAGAATATATACTGAATGGTTGGTTTGTTGCTCATCCTTTACAGGATGTTGCAGAACCAACCCCAACAGCCCCTGGCTGTTGTGTGGTTTTTCTAGGCAATTTTACATCCAGTAGTTTGCCATTGCTTTCTGGAATATACTGAATATATTACTTGAATAATAATTATTACTGTATACAGAGTAGATACCAGAACAGTTGCAGTTTGATTCTAGACAGTAAATTGTAATTAATATTTCAGAAGTGACTATGCTTGTGCTGATGGTTTTGTCACTGATCATTGATGAACATCAGACCCATCTTCTCACCTCACATGATTCAGTATTTGACCTTATGATGTCGCTTACAAAGCGTGCACTCCAGTTTGCTAATCATCGCTGTGAAGGCTTCAGGTAAATCTTTGATAGCTGTTGTAAACCGTTTTTTAATCTTTTGACATAATTTAACCCTTTCAGCCCTAAACAACGCACCATGTGTACTGGATATTACTCATGTGCACCAGTCAGCATGTTTTGTATATCTGAAGTTTAGTCAGGCCGACTAAAGAAACCTAATAACACAAGTCACCCACAATGCGCTTTGTATTTAGACCCTGTGGATGGTGTATAACCAAGCCAATTTCCCCAATGTATGCCTTGCTGCATCATTTGCAGATTATTGCATAAATTACGTTGCGGGATTCGCAAGTAAAAGGCTCCCTAATTTGGAAAGAACCATGCACTGGCAGGAAGCTAGCTGATTGTTTCCGGGAACACCTCTCCGATATTAACAAGAAGACACTTAAACCAATCCCTCTCCATTTTAACAGCTCTGACCACAGAAGTAAAAATGAAATATCTGTAACAGCATTAAAATCTTGCTCTGGCGATCATACTACGCGCCTGGCTTTAGAGAATCGCCTCATCCACAGCCTAGGCGTTCTTAGTCCAGGTGGTTTAAATATCCAACATACCTTGATCTCAACAGTTTTACTCTTTTTTTACATTTTAAATGTTAATTATTTTCTTTTCTTTTCTTTTATATTATTACTTTATTCTATCTCTTATCAGTATCTTTTATGTATCATTAACATTTGCATTTCTTTTATTCCCACTATTATATTATATATTACAAATATAACTTTTTTTTTTTTTGCACTATATGTTTTTAGTTATCGTTTATTTTATTTTCATTTCATTTATTCCACATCACATTTTTAAAACGTTGCTCACGTCACCTCTTAGAGATCTGTTTACTCCCATCTCCTCGTTGTTATTTTTGTGTAGTCCACTTCATGTTTGACAAAGGCTGCCCTTCTGAAGCGTTACGTTATTTGTGTTGTTTTGTGCACGTTTTTCTGCTTTCCCATTTGGTTAAGCTTTTTAGTCAAATTTTCCTGGAATTCCTTGTATTAGCTTGACTGCAGTCACCCCTATATTTTTACCATTTTAAGCCTTTTGTTTTTTCATTTATTATTTTAAGTAACTGTATCATTGACCATTCATGTAATATGCTGATGAAGGTTTTCTAGCCCAGAAATTCATTTTATCATCCATGACTGTGTTTTTGTGAATGTGACTGTTCTATTTCTCATTTGGATTGATAAATTCATAAACTTTTTTTTAGCTTGATCATAGAATGAGTTGGACTATTCATGCCAACCCTCCTAAAATAAAAAAAAATAGGATTCAAAGCTGGATCTCCCACATGTGAATCAGCATTCTAAATATTTGACCAGCCACTTCTCTGAATGCTTGTAAATGGCAGGAAAGTTATTATGAAACTCTGCTATAAGATATTCTTTTTTTCTTTTTCTTTTTGAAAGCTTTAAGAAAGTCCAATGATTGCTATAGGTTTGGTTGTAAATGTCATATAGTTTGCTATCTTGGAAATTAGATATACTCCAACATTGCTTAGAAAATCATGGTTAAAAAAAATGTCTGCAGTTCTGTCAGATCTGAATATTAATAAAAAATAGTTTTTAAACAGGATCCTTTCTCAGAGACTGAAATAATTTGGTCCTTAACAGTAGAAGATTTAGTTCCTGGAAGAAAAGGCAGAGTTAGACCAGCACAAAAGCTGACACAGAACATTAAAGACACCTTGAGCATTACAATGAAAGAGGCAGGGTATGATGTTCTACATAGAACCTGCTACATGAATGATGAATGGATTTTCATTTTGTGTCCTTATTTTTATTTTACATACTTAAATCTTATTTTGTTTTCCTGTTAGTGTTGAAGAGCTGATTCAAGCCATGACAGGACTGAGCAGAAACGATTCAGTTAAAAGTGTCCTGGTGCAGAAGGGTATCTTGAATCTGGTGCCTAGCATTCTAACTGAAGGCAATGAAATAGAAAAAGAGGCATCAGTAAAGTTACTGTGGGAATTGTCATTTGATCCAAGGAATAAAGTTACAATAGAGGTAAGGGTAATATTTTCTTTTAATGTTTGAGATTCAAGAGAAAAATAACAGTAGAGTGTGGAAAACAGGTAGTTAGAGACCTGTTATGGTCAGTTTCTAAGTACTAGGTCCTACAACCCGAAGTAGCTAAGGTGAGTAGGAAAAACTACTGATAGCAGGTCAAACGTATTTGAAGTAGACTGTATATAGAAGTCCCCGGGAAAAGGGAATGAAATGTAAAGAATGGATAATGCCAGGAACCATAAAGAAATGGAAGAGTGGATAATAAATAAAAAGCGTTTAAAAAAAAATACTAGAATCAGAACTACTCAAATCAGAGTCAATAAAAAAATTACACAGTGAAGTTACAAAGATAGTAAGGATGGTTAAAACCACAATATACGATGGCCTGGAAGGAGATGCAAAGTAGCTGCAGCAAAATTAAACCTTAACCACTACAAACAAGCAAGGAAGTATAACCAACCAAGTGGACTTTTAAAAAAAATGCTAATGCTCATGAAGATTACTTATCAAATGAAGTAGTCGTCTGACTAACTTTTGAATAACTAGTCCCAAAAGATGCCTTAGATACTGTATTTACTCAAGTATTAGATGATCCCGTGTATAAGAAGCATCTTGATTTTTGGGACTGAAAATTTGGATACAAGTAATTTGATTATTACAGTTTTTGAGTTAACATATCCATAAAACTCCGAATCATTGTTAAAACTTTCATTCATATGATAGTTCTTTAGCTTTTCCTCATCTGTGTCTACTGGTGAATCACTATTTTTATATATTACCCCATCATCAATTCCATCTGTGACATTTTAAGTGCCACACTTCTTGAATGACTTGACAATGATCTCACTCATCACAATATCCCAGGATCTTTTTACCCAGGTACAGACTTCTAAAGCTTGTTTTCGTGACACTACTGCTGGTGTCAGATTGTCCCCAGAAGACTTCATCCGTTTGGTTCTGTTTGTCACTTTAGCAAACTGAATTACTTTGAACTTGAATTCAGCACTGTACAAAAATCTTTTCAGAGACATTTATGGTAACAAGTGTGAAACAATGAGCACCAAGACAAACACAAAAACTATTACTTCTGGAGCAAGATATTAATTTAATAATTGTTTTTAATTTTTCGTGTTGAACCTGATTTCTCAAATGAGGCCCTGTAAGGGATATTTTCTAACAAGTAATTTGGTAAAAATCAACTACCAATGTATAAGATTCACACTGTTTTTAGACCCTATATTTTTGGAAGTAAGTACATCTTATACTTGGGGAGATATGGTATCCCGTCACCAGAAGTAGAACTAGATTTTACTTGTAAGAAAATGTTTGAAGAAACATTGTGGAAAATTTATCAAGCTAATGAAATGGGAAATCTGAGAATCCTTGAACTTCCAAGTCCAAACTGCACTTGCTTATTTAGTTTGTGCATGAACTGTGTTGTGAGCATGTTTGTGTATGTTCACACAGCACTTCCACACCTAACAACATTGGACAAAATGTTTTTTTTAGACCATAGATTTGCCAATATAACTTTTTTTTTTATGGCTGGAGGGGGGTTTCTGAGATCTGCTCATGTCAGGTGTTAATCTTTTAGACTGCAACTGTCAACTCAACCCAGGAGGGAACAATGTTAAAAAAAAAACTGCATTTTTATTGCTTTGAGCACATTAATATGAGTTATGTTCATGTTTAGATGTATTTTGTTGTGAGCATTTTGATGTATCTTGTGACCATGTTTATGCTTTTCATGAGCATATTGATGTGTGTTTTATTTTCATGTTTATGATAAAGTGCAGTTTCAGTGTGCAGTTATTTGTTTACAGACATCACACTAGTAATCTACCTTTAATAAATTATACATTTAGAAAAATAAAAGCATCATGCAGGCTGTGAGAGATCTCAGCAAAAACATCAATAGGAAAATAGCAAGATCTGCTCAAGGAATGTTGTGGGTTATCGGAATGGAGAAAGACAAAGGGCTACCAGGTATTTTCAAGAAATTATTTTAAAAATGTAAATTTACTTTTAGATTTATATGCCACCTTTGTCCTAACAATGTTTCCTTTAGTAAGTTAAGTTTAAATCTTCATTGCATCTGAGTTTTATTTTTGTTCTATTATTTTGTTTATTTTTAAGTTTCTAAGTCTTTCTCGCTTATTTCATGGCCTTAAATTAATACTTAATATGTACAAAGACGTTTATCAACATTTCACATTTGCTAGATCAAAATTGATGTGTATCACCCACCATGAGACCCACAGAGTAGTCCCTGTCAAATTACACATTTGTTTTATTACTTTCTTGTCAATTTTGTGTTTTTAATAGTATATTATGCATAATCTAAGTTCCATAAGAGTATATATATGATCAGTCAATCAATAGCAATTTCCACAAAAAATGTTGTGTCAATGGCTTCATTTCTGATTTTTATTGTAAACTCTATCTGACTCCTTTTTATCCTTCTCTTAATGTTACCCTAATGTTGTCTCTTAATGAACAACCAGAACTTTTCGCCCAAGTTTACAGTTAGTGAATGCTAAGAAGAAGAAGAAGAAGACATTGGCTGTACTCTATGAATGCTGTTAGTCCATCTCTTGATGCTGTTCTCTCCCCTACCTCACTTGACACACATTTTTTCCCTCTAATTTAGTGTTTATAAGAATGCCTTTTAATGTCAATAATACATGTTTATTTTTTTTATTTCAACAACACTTTTTTTTTCATTCCCAGTCTCACATAAACTTTTATTTTTTCCCCCTCAAGGAATGCAAATTATTCTCCTCTCGACATCTTCAGAATCTCAGATAAACTTTCTAATTATGTGTTTGTTTTCAAGGTTTGTGCAGTCATATTGAATATAAATAAAATATAATTTCTGTTATGTAGATTTGATTTTGAAATGTGTATTTAACTTGGAGTTTAGTAGATTAGAGATGACCTCGTTCACCTCTGCCTCCAGCAGATCCAGTTTGTCCTATAGTTTTTGCCTGCTTGAGATTTTACTAATTACGGATTTAAGAGTCGACATCAAAGCATGCGGGTATACTCAATGATAATCCGTCTCCTGCATCAAATGTCTTGAAGTATAACTGCTAACTGTTCCAGTAGCACACTGGTTATTTACACACCGTTTGGCTCCTTGTCAACTTAACACCTAATTCATGCATTCTTCACATGTTATTTCATCCAACTTTGTGCTTTCTATCAGCATTCATTCGTAAATAGTCTTTAGAATATCTCCTTTGTCCAGTACAAATGTTCTCGTAGCTATCACTTTATAGCCAGTTCACTTTTTTTATTCCACTGCACTCCTTCCTGTCCCAGGCACTATATCCATGTGATTCTCTGTAATGCTGACGTACTGATGCTTACGTTCTTACAAAACAAGAAAAAATATATATAATTTTCCCTGGCACATGGATGAATCTGTCAGCAAGCCATCTCAGACAAATGTGGAAAACTCAGATCTACTGTATGTATGTCTCTACAACATTTTCAAACTTAATAAACTATCTTAAAAATATAATATTTATGGCATCATAATCTTTGAATACACACATTTGTATCCTGGAAGATTTTATTGAGTTGATGCACTGTACTGAGATTCTCCATGTGTATGATATACTGAAGGAGACTGGAGCATTTATGGAGATAACATTGAGCAAAAATAGCCATTTAAACAAACCAACCCAAGTTTATTTGCTAAGTTAGTATCTTGTACATATGTACATTTTCTTTATGAGTAATATACCATGTATAATCCTCTGTGTAGATACAAAGCCAGCAAAACTGCCAACTGAAAAAGAAAGTAAGCCAAGTACTGGTCATGTTATGGTCAGTTACAATTGGAGCGATCAGAAGAAACTTCTGGAGGTATTTAGTGTATTCATTTTAACCTTATTTACCTTGGTTATCTTTTGAGCTGAAATGCTATAGAAAGATTCTCAGAATATCTTGGACAAAGAAGAGGAGACTGACATCTTGAAAGATCTGAACATCAAGGAAGATTGGCTAATAAACAGCATCCTGTCTCGGTAGCTGAAATATTTTGGTCATATCAAGCGCCCCGATAGATTGGAAAAAATTAAAGCAGAAGGCATGGTACAAGGAAGGAGGGGCAGGGGCAGACCGACACGAAGATGGGCACAGGCTATAAGTGACTCCTTGAGTATAAAAGTACATGAGGCGGTAGAACTGGCGAGAGACAGAGTTTCTTTCAGGCAGACTGTGATGAGAGCGACGTTCTGCAAAGAATCTGCTACATGATGATGTTGATGACCTTGATTATATTGCATTAGCTGTAAACATCTTTCATATTAATGAAAACTATAAAGAAAAAAAAAAGACATTATGATATGGTGCATTGTCTAATGTCTGCAAATTGCTTCAAACAGACTGGGTTGTCAGCTGTTACCTCTTCATGAAAAAAAGAAATGTAGTTTTATATATATATATATATATCTCTGTTATATGTTTGAATAGTACTTTAATTGTAAAAATTAAGTAGATAGAAGTTTATATTTGCAGCAATGTGAAAATTATTAAATTTATCACTTTACCACTAGATCTACATTATCCATCACTGATGAAAGTTTGTTTAGTAGTAGTAGACTCTCAAAGTATTTTAGAAAATCAGCTACACATGTTTAACTCGTTCAGTTCCAAGCAGCGCCTGGCATGTGAGTAGCTCTGTCCCTTGATTTCCTGCCATAGAATAATTTACTCTCTTAATTTTAAACTTTAGTCAGAATATAACCCCCCCCCCCCCCCCCCCCCCAAAAAAAAAAAAAAAATTTGGCTACCCCATTGGTAATTATTACTGTTTATATTGCTGCTTCAAAAGTAATACATTCAAGTTTTTCACCATGGTTATTTCTCTAGTTTGGCATCTCTTGTGAAACTTCCTGGTATTAAAAGAGTTAGTTAATGTAAATAAATACTATCTGGTTGATAAATAATTTTTACAGTTCTGTATTTATAAAATATTAGCCACATGAATATGATTTGTTTGCTGACTCCACAGATTTGTGAGTTCTTACGAAATCGTGGCTACAAAATATGGATGGATATTGACAATATTCAGGGTTCAACACTGCAAGCAATGGCAGAAGCTGTTGAACAGGCAGATGTAGTAATTATTTGTATGTCTGAGAAATACAAGGAGAGTCCAAACTGCAGATCAGGTTTCAGTATCATGATAAGTTTGTGTTTGTGCTGTCAACAATGTTGTAATGCAAGTATTTCCAGACTTGAAGTCTGTACACTTAAGATGGCTCATTCAATTACAGTTCTGTCAATTTGAGGACAGTAATGCACTTGTCACATTTGTTAATAAATTAAAAAAAATTATATCAAATACAGAGGCTAAAGTTGTTGAAACATGCTGTAGTAGTGATGACTTAAAATGGCCAAGCATGAATCTATCTTTAATCTTTCCTTTTTTTACTACTGATAAGTAACTTGGCTATTAATTTTTAGTATTGAAAAAAAAATTATATTATAAAACAAAGAAATGGAAAGTAACCAATTCAGAGTTGAATTAAAAAACCTTCTTTTAATATCCCAACATGACTGTTTTTAGCATTCATTCTGTATGGCTCTTGTTTTTCTTTCCTATTCAAAGAAGTCATAGCAAGATTTTAGGGATCATCCATTATTCCCATCTGACAGACATAATTTTTCTAAGATATCAAAGAAAAAACATTTCTTAGTTAATACATTTTTTGACAAATTCCTCCTTGAAAGAAACAAACAGTTTTTTTTTATACACTGTAATTGCATATTGTCACAAGTATTCAATGCTTCCTTTTTTTTCTATTATTTTGTTTTCAGAGGCAGAATATGCATTTTGCCTGCAGAAACCTATAGTTCCATTACTCATGCAATATGAATACAAACCTGATGGTTGGTTGGGAATCCTATTAGGCACCAAACTATTTTTCAACTTTTCAGGTAAGATACAGACATTTAATGTTTTAAATTTTTTTTTTTTTTTTAAATTGACTGTTTTATTTCAGTTTAGAAAAAAAGTTAATGAAATCTAGCATCAGAATCTTCATCTTCATCATTTACTCTTTCACTGCTTTAGGTGTCGAGGGAGACAATAGGTTCTGCTTCTTGCTCTTTTGGTTGCCTTGACCATAGACACATCAACAAAGGTTACATCTCTCCCTGACACTTCGCTGAGGTACAAGGAGGAAGAGAAGAAAAAGAAATAGTTTCTCTGAGGTTATCTTTCCATCTTGCTCTTAATCTACCTTGTTCTCTAAATCCTTCTCCTCTTTTGGTTGATGCCTTGTATAGTATGACATCACAGGTCATTTCTCTAAACGGGCAAACCATTTGATTTGCTGTCTTTGTATGTAATATAGAATTGGTTCTGTGATTACTTTTTCTCTGATGACCTCATTCCTGGTTTCACCTTTTCTGAGTACTCCTGTAGCCAGCCCCTCAGAGACACAGCATTTCCATAGTTACTACAACAGCAATGTAAATGTGTTTGTTTACCTTGTCTCTCATACAGTGGCACCAGTTTATACAAATATTCAACACACAGCATAAATGTAATCAAGAAATATATCAGCAGTTCTGAGATTATGAGTGACAGTAAATGAGACAGATGGATATGGGCATGTAGGATGATATATAGGTGGTTGAGTAGGAAGACTAGAGGAGCAAGTGTATTCTTCTTTGTAACTGTGAGGGTAAAATGCTTACAACTGGCAATTGTAGCCAGTTTTGTTTTCTTCAAATGTTATTTTTCAAGATAACAGTTATTATCTTTAATAAAATTTTTATATAGAATTAATGTGACTACAATGCATGCATAAAACTTGACGTGAATGAAGATTAAGAAATAATCTTGTTAATTTTATGCCCAGTCTGAAAGTTGACGAGGCATATTAAAATTAACAAAACATTTCTTTCATCAAGATTTTCTTGCATTCTAGACCAATAGTTCTTCAGCATCAGATATACAAAATGTAATGCATTACTGTCATATTATATACATGTGTTACAGGGAAATATCCATTTGAGAAAAAAATAAATGAGCTTACCAAAGAAATAGGAAGTAGAGGCAAATTTCTTGATAACCAATCACAGGTCAGATTTAATTGTTTACTTTTTATCTTTACTGTGTAAAACATGTTATGTGTCTTTTGGTGTGCTATCTTGATGAAGTCCATAAGTAAAATAAAGTGAATGTCTCATGCTAGTGGTACATCAGGCATATGATATTATAGTGTGTCCCATAACTCCCTCCACAGTGACTCAGTTTTTAAAAATACACAAAAACTGTCAGACAATTGTAATGAAGCACAAACTGCTATGGAAAGGCATGGGAATCACAGGTGATGATGAGTATGGCTAGCAAGGTTTGTTCACAATATTATAACACTTTTCAGCTCCAGAAATCAGCAGTTTATTATTTTGTGCTACGTTCGCCGAAAATTGTGACTAAAAGAAGTGTTTATTCCTGGAAAGGATGTTCAGTGTGTTAGATTAGTGTAGTTGTTCAGTTGAAGATGAATTCGCGACAGGCCCGGCAAGTCGGCGGAGGATTCAGCGATTTAAAAAGAAATGCCCAAGATGAAAATCAGAGATGTTTTAGAAATAGGGAAAATAGAGGCCAGCAGAAGGTTAAGACCAGGCTAGGGACAATCAATATATGTGGATGGGGCAATAAAGAAGAACAAGTGATAGAATTAATGGAGAAATATAACGTTAAAGTGTTAGGCTTATCAGAAGTGAGAATGAAAGGACGAGGAATGAAGAAACTACATAAAAATTACGTTTTGATACAATCGGAAGTAGAGGAAATGCAACGTGCAAAGCATGGAGTAGGATTTATCATTGATCCCGAAACTGCAAAAAATATACTTGAAGTTTACATCTCGGAAAGAATTATAAGTTTGAAATTACAAGTGGGAAATAGTTCGGAGGTGTTTTTTCAGATATATGCAATGGAAATTACAGTGAGGAGGATTTAGATCAATTCTTTGAGGACCTGGATGAGGATATTTGTAAGATAGATAATAACGAGAAACTGATCGTGATGGGTGATTTTAACGGTAAGACAGGACGAGACAGAAGAACATTTACAAGATACCTAGCAATTATGGAGACAACAGCATTAGAAATGAAAATGGCGAAAGACTATTGGATATATGTGCACAACATGACCTTGTTATTACCAACACCTTTTTTCAACATAGAGCTTCACAAGTTTTTACATGGTATAAATGGATGATCCAGATACCAAGAGTCAGATTGATTACATCTTGACGAGAAAAAGAGACTTTCATCAAGTTACAGATGCGAGAGTTATACCAAACTTGAGTTTAGATACAGATCATAAGATGGTGATACTTGACAGAAAAGTCAAGATAAGTTATCAAACAAAAAAGAAATAAATAAAAGTGACATAATAAAATGGAAAGAACTAGAGTGTGAGGAAAATAGGCGAGCGTTTCAGCAAACAATTACAGGAAAATTATGAACAGCTTCCACAAAACACTCTTGGGGTAAATACACAATGGTTGAATTTCAGAAAAACCACTATGAAAATAGCACAAGAATTATGTGGAACTAAAAGGAAAGGTAACATAGGGCGTAAGCTCTCAACATGGTGGTCTGAAGAAATAAGAAGAATTGTGAGCAGTAAAAAGAAAGCTTTTGGCATTTGGCTGAGGAGCAGAACAGAAGAGGATTACATAACATATAATTAGAAGAGAAGTAAATAGAACTATCAGAAAAGCAAAAAGAGATTAATGGGAAAAGTTTGGAAGCAAGCTGGCTGAAGAAGAAAGAACAGCAGTGAAAAACTACTACAAAAAAAATCAAAGGAAACAGGAATGAAGAATACAACCCAACAGAAATTATAAATGATGAAGTTGGCCAACCTTTAATAGAACCTACCAAAATTTTAGCAAGGTGAAGTAGTTACTTTGAAGCATTACTTAGCCTCAGGGAAGAACATAAAAATAACTCGGAACTAACAGCAGAGGAACTAGAACCAGCTATATTATTGGATGAAGTAAAATATGTCATTCGAACCACCCCTAGACTAAAGGCGACAGGTATTGATGATCTACCAGCTGAGGCCATCAAGGCAGCAGGAGAAACCAGAGCAATATGGTTAAAGAGAATATTTCAGGTGGCATGGGAAAATCAAGAAACACCATTAGATTGGCAGACTGCTGTCATTGTCCCGCTGTGGAAAAATAAAGGAAGTAAGAGGGAATGTACTAATTACAGAGGAATATCACTACTCAGTCACACTGGGAAAATGTATGCTAAGATCATCGAAAAAAGGCTGAGACCATTGATAGAGTATCAACTTTCAGAAGCACAGATGGGCTTTCGACGAAACAGAAGTTGCACAGATGCCATTTATACACTGAGACAACTATCAGAGAGGGCAATAGAACATGATAAGACATGTTTATTGACATTCATAGACCAAGAAAAAGCCTTCGATAGAGTCGACAGGAATATGTTGTGGGAATGTATGGGGAAAAAAGGAATCAGCAATCATCTCATTAATATTTGCAAAAGCCTGTACACACGTAGTAAATTCATAAGATCGAAGGCAGGGTTGTCAAGAACTTTTATAGTGAACTCTGGTGTGCGTCAGGGCTGTGTACTATCGCCGCTTCTTTTTATAACATACATGGATACCATATGTAGAGAAACGAACTTTAATCATGAAGAAGATATTACAGAATTACTTTTCGCTGATGACCAGGTACTCATAGCAGAAAATACGGAATGCCTACAGAACCACCTAAATCAAATTAGTAATAAAGGGGAGGAATATAATATGAAAAAACACTACGAAGACAGAGACAATGATGATAGGAAGACATAAAGACAATTTAGAAATTAAATTAAAAAACAATACCCTGAGACAAACAGAGGAATTTAAGTATTTGGGAGCAATTTTTACATCTGACTGAAAACTGAAAAGAGAAATTAGCTCCAGATGTGCCTAAGCTAATCAAGTAATGGGTCAACTATCTCCCCTGTTGACACACGAGCAGATACCTCGGAGTACTAAAGTGAATCTTATCAGAACTATTTTTTGGCCAACACTATGCTATCAATGCCAAACGTGGACACTTACATCCTCCAATGAACGTAAAATTGTGACAACAGAGATGAAATGCCTTAGAAGAGCTGCAGGAGTTTCAAGGAAAGACAGAATACGAAATCATGAAATCAGACGAATGCTAGGAATAAAGCCATTTTTACAGGTCATCAAAGAACAACAAATGAAGTGGTTTGGACACCTAACAAGAATGCCCTGGTACTATCCGCCACAGCGAGCCACACTAAAATGTTACAACGGGTATAGAGCGAGTGGAAGACCTCGGAAAAGATGGAGTGATGGCATTAAGAACAGCCTTACAGAAATGAACATCAGTCTTAATAGTGCTCTTGAAAGAGCCCATCAACGAACATTACATCTCCCCCTGACACTTCGATGAGGTACAAGGTGGAAGAGAAGAAGAAGAAGAAGAAGATTATTTTGTGCTACATAATGAGCCAGCCCTGACTGGTTATCAGTATTTCTGTTCTGTACATTTCCCTAACCATGCATACCTTTCAAAATTGGCATATTTGGTTATTTCAATTATTACTAATCGTATATTTTCCTAATTTTTTTTGACAGTTTAAAAATTTTAACAACATGACACCATCGTCAGGTGCCTACTACAATAACAATTACACAAATTAAGTAAATAAGTGAATCCTTTATAACTGAAGTACAAGTTCAAAAACAACAAAATGCAACTGCCTGTTTTACCAGGGCAGCTATAGTGTCAGCATCGTCTGGACTTATTTGCTTCATTTATGTAATTGTTACTGTAGTATGCACCTCATAAGATAACCGAAATATGCCAGGCAGTAGATTGTGCAATCTATTGTTCGTGTCTTCTTTGTTCAAATTTACCATGAGTAAACATACCATGAGTAAACATACCATGAGTAAACATACCATGAGTAAACATACCATGAGTAAACATACCATGAGTAAACATGCCATGAGTAAACATTGCTTTGAGCTTAAAAATTGGATTTTATCAACAATTATTTTCAGGACAGCACTGATGGCCCAATTATAAAGACAGTAATTCCTGCTCTTGATAAAACACCAGATGCACATCCACAACATGCATTTCATGTTAAAAATTGGATGCAAGAAAACAATCTAACAGAGTAAGTTATTAACTCATTCAGTACACATATACTGTATTTTTCTATGCTTTAGCCATAATTATGATCAGACTCTTCGCTGACTGCTGAAGATGGCGACAGAGCACTTATGGGAGTGTCCCAAGTGCTGTGATGTCAATTTTTAATTCAACATTTGATCAGACCTGAAAAGCCGGAACATACAAAGTTTACATTTATAATAATATTACACCCAACGATTATTCTTATGCCAAATTACAGGGAAATAAAAACAGATATTGCAGATATGTTGAGGAGCGGCTGGCCAAACAGTTAAAAAGCTGGGCTTTCAAGCGGGTGACCCAGATTCGAATTCTTTGTAAAGCTGGGGATTTTTTAATGTCAGGGGCAAAATAAAATCCTCACCTGCACAGACGTGGCGCAGCATTAGCCATGCAGCCGTAAAACCTCAGGCACAAAAACCCTCCTGCCTACGCCACAAAAGTGGTATAATACAGGCAGTTATTGGAAGGTTTTTTTTGGAGGGGGGGGGGGGCACATAAGCTGACTTTTTAAAATTTTAAATATGACATATTTAGTTAGTACATCTTTGAAATATATACAGCAAAATAATTTTTATATCACAATTTTGTATTATATATTTGTGTTGTTGTTTCCCCACTATGCCATTATTATTTATTCTATGGTGCTGTTCACTTTTCCAGGCTCAGGATTAGAGTGACTTTCCTTGCCATTCATGCCTCCTCAGGTCACTGGAACTCTCCTATGTTGCGGAGAAGTCATGTTTTCCTTACTGTGAACAGTTTAAGCATTCCCTCTTTTCTTGTCTTCTCACCGCTTGCTTGCTTGTGTGATTATTTTCACGTTCTTCTACCTGAGTGACAGTTCGGGAGTATGGACACAGAGATATTTTTCTATTCCTATAAAAAAGTAAGTAAAGTAAAGTAAAGGACCCTTTTCCACGCCTTTAGGCGTATAGGGCATATAGGGCTAGAACTATATTTTTATAGACCAATCAGCACAAGATGGGTGATGTGGTCAGCATCACGCCGGCCACCTCTACTTCCCGGGACTGCACCCGGTACCCACTCAAGGCTGGGTCGACCTGGGAGCCAAGGTCATTTTTGAAAATAGTCCGGCTCCGCCAGGGAGCGAACCCACAACCTTTTGATCCGCGGCGAGCGTCTAGCCGCTCGGCCACGGTGACCCCCCTTTCTATTCCTATGCTCCTTGTAAATGCTTTCTTTCTCTTGGGGGAAGGCCAGCACCAACGAACGTAGAAATACAAAAAAACATCCCAGTTTCGATAGCCAAGAATCGTCACGCCTTTCCCTGCAGTACTTCTTACTTGTACACAGGCACCTATGGTGCCTCAAATAGACTCACAACAACACATCCTCCCGCAAACATTACATACGCGAAGCAAATGCCAAACAAAGCCATATCATAACACCCCCGCAACATAGGAGAGTTCCAGTGACCTAAGGAGGTATAAATGACAAGGGAAGTCACTCTCATTCTGGGCCAGAAATCATGAACAGGTCCTATTCTACCCCCTTGCAAGACTGCTTTCTGAAAAAAATTAACACTAGTTAGAGCCACTAGTTAAAGCCACTGTTCAGATGAGAATTTAACAGATACAAAACCTGGAAGCCCATTTCAGTCGGATAGCACTTATATATGACATCTGACAATCACAAAGTAACTTGTAGTCTGTTTATTCTTGTTTTCTTTTCTATATCCATTACAATTATAGCACATTCTGTCAAGGTATATTTTAAAATATATATATTTCTATCCTCCTCACCCCTTCTCTCCATCCTACCCCTCTCTCTCTCTCTCTCTCTCTGTATCTCTCTTTTTAGCTCATTCACGCACAAAAAAGGAAACACACTAGAACACACACATGCACACCCACACACCTACACCTCTCTGGTATCATCATCACATGCCCTACTGACATGCATCTCCACAGATCTCGGTTCCTGGTTCTCTGGACCAGTTTTACCAATGATATCCCTCTCTGCCACCGTCGCAATCCATCCATCATCATCTCTCTGTCTGCCTCTCCCTCTTCTACCACTGATTTACCCAGTTGTCACAATATTCTCCAAAGCCTTTCCCCTATCACATGACCAAAGAACAGTGCTTGTATTTTCCTTATAGCTGTATATATTGATCTTTTTTCATCAGCTTCTTTCAGTCAATCCTTGTTAGTTACTCTGGCAGTCCAAGGGCTTCTTAACATTAATCTAAGGAACTACATCTCCATTGCCTCCAAGTTATCTATAATTTGTGCATTCACATTCCATGATTCACTACCATATATCTCTGGTGTAGTAATTATAAGTCAGCATCCGTGGCTTAGGCGTTAGGAACGTGCTTTGTAATGCCGGGGTGCCATGTTCGATCCCAGCTGCGGGCCTTGCGCCTTGCACTGGTTTCGACAGTGGTATCGAGAAGCCGACCGTCCAGAAAGCAATGGCAAACTACTGGACATAAACTTGCCTAGGAAAACCACAGAAGCCAAAAAATGCTGGGGTTGGTTCTGCAACGTCCTTCATAGGATACGCAACTAAATAGAAATTATAAATAATTAGACATGAACCATATTATTTCATCCATGCTTAATTTCTCAGGTTTGTGAACCTTCAGTTTCTAACAACAGAACATCTACAATTTTTGAAAAAAGTTTCACTCAGGGTAAGTAATTAAACGAAACAAAAGATAGTGTATACAGAGCTAAATCATATACAGGATGTACAAAACCATCCCTAGCAATCTTTGGCTGTTTGTGATTTTAATAGGTAATTTTACGTTTAGTAGTTTGCCATTGTTTTCTGGAGGACTGGCTCTTGATAACACGTTCAAATAAATGCAAGGCGGTCTGCTGCCAAATCACCTGCAGCTGAGATCAAACCTGGTATCACAGAATTATAAAGCATGTTTGCGGTGTCTAAGCCACAGTAGCCAACAACTAAATGATACTCATAAATATAGTCATAGAATATATAAAAGTAACTTTAGAGAACAAATTGTCCTTGTGTATAAGTTGCTAGATTAGTAACATAGTTTCTTTGCACCAACAAGATCTGATACAAGTTTCCCTCAGATTATTTTTAAAATTCCCCAAATCTTTGTGTAATTATTATTTTCCCATAATACTGCCTTTTTTTTTTAAATTTTTATTTGGCTCTGTTTTGCCTTTCAGCATCATACTGAAGTCTTAAGAACTTTCTGGACTATGTTTTTGTGTATGAGTACAGAATGGTGTTCATTCTTTGCAATTCCACTAATACATCGCTATTCTTGTGCCCATAATATGATACATGTCTTTAGTGTTTCCAGCATTAGAGCATTTGTACTGATGGTGACTGCATGACATATCACATTTGTACTGATGATTGCATGACATATCACATTTGTACTGATGATTGCATGACATATCACATTTGTACTTATGGTGACTGCATGACATATCACATTTGTACTGATGATTGCATGACATATCACATTTGTACTGATGATTGCATGACATATCACATTTGTACTTATGGTGACTGCATGACATATCACATTTGTACTGATGATTGCATGACATATCACATTTGTACTGATGATGATTGCATGACATATCACATTTGTACTGATGATTGCATGACATATCACATTTGTACTTATGGTGACTGCATGACATATCACATTTGTACTGATGATTGCATGACATATCACATTTGTACTGATGATGATTGCATGACATATCACATTTGTACTGATGATGATTGCATGACATATCACATTTGTACTGATGATTGCATGACATATCACATTTGTACTGATGGTGACTGCATGACATATCACATTTGTACTGATGATTGCATGACATATCACATTTGTACTGATGATGATTGCATGACATATCACATTTGTACTGATGATTGCATGACATATCACATTTGTACTGATGATTGCATGACATATCACATTTGTACTGATGATGATTGCATGACATATCACATTTGTACTGATGATGATTGCATGACATATCACATTTGTACTGATGATGATTGCATGACATATCACATTTGTACTGATGATGATTGCATGACATATCACATTTGTACTGATGATGATTGCATGACATATCACATTTGTACTGATGATTGCATGACATATCACATTTGTACTGATGATTGCATGACATATCACATTTGTACTGATGATTGCATGACATATCACATTTGTACTGATGATGATTGCATGACATATCACATTTGTACTGATGATTGCATGACATATCACATTTGTACTTATGGTGACTGCATGACATATCACATTTGTACTGATGATTGCATGACGTATCACATTTGTACTGATGGTGACTGCATGACATATCACATTTGTACTTATGATGATTGCATGACATATCACATTTGTACTGATGATTGCATGACATATCACATTTGTACTGATGGTGACTGCATGACATATCACATTTGTACTGATGATGATTGCATGACATATCACATTTGTACTGATGGTGACTGCATGACATATCACATTTGTACTTATGATGATTGCATGACATATCACATTTGTACTGATGATTGCATGACATATCACATTTGTACTGATGGTGACTGCATGACATATCACATTTGTACTGATGATGATTGCATGACATATCACATTTGTACTGATGGTGACTGCATGACATATCACATTTGTACTGATGATGATTTCATGACATATCACATTTGCAATAACAATGGCAAAAATGTTTGGTTCTTTTATTTTATCCGGGACAATCGGTAAGCAGGCCAAACAATTTCTGGAGGCCTCAGAGATGTAGTTTTACAGAAGAATGCTTAGAATACCTTGGACAGCCAAAGAGAGTCGGGTTTATATCTTTTCTTGAAAGGGGCAGGAGCCAGAAGACAACTTATCACAGACATCAGAAGGAGACAGTCATCATTTTTCGGCCATGTTATGAGAAGAGGGAAAATAGAACATGTTGTGACCACTGGAAAGATCTGTGGAAGGAGGGATAGAAGAAGACAACGAGAGCAGATTCTTGACAGTCTTGTTGCATGGCATGGAGGTGTGTCGGCACACGAACTGATACATGCTGCAGGAGATCGTGGATTATGGAGAGGCATGATCGCCCACGCCAGTCGGCAAGGCACCTGATGATGATGATGATTTTACCCCATTGGAGGCTTCGAGATTTCATAGGGAATTCCTGCAAAAGTCTAGTAGTTAAGAGTTGTTAGTTGTAAAATGAATGCCGACTAACACTAACCTAAATCCTAACCCCTTCTATAATATTAGACCTTCTCAGGAAATTTCCTATGAAATCTTAGAGCCCCTGAGAGGGGGTAGAAAAAAAAATCTCAGATTTGAATATTTTAAAATAGCTTTTTGAGGGAATATTTTCTCTGTAATTGTTTATCCTATCCTCATGGGAGCAATCTCATGTGGTCCACATTTGTTGGTAAGTATGTGGGGAAATTAGAGTTTTCAAGTTGGCATCTGTGGCTTAGGCGATGCGAACGCGCTTCGTAATGCCCGGGTGCCGGGTTCGATCCCAGCTGCTGAAAGTTTGTCTTGCGATGGTTTCGACTCTGGTACCAAGAGCGAACTGTCCAGAAAGCAAAGCAAACTACTGGACATAAATTTGCCTAGAAAAACCACAACAGCCAGAAAGTGCTGGGATTGTTTCTGCAACTTCCTGTAAAGGATACGCAACTAATTGAAAAAGTTTTCAAACTTTTCAAAATATGAAGTATGATAAAATCAAACACACCTCTGGGTGTCTTCAATGCTAAATGTATGAAATGATTAGTAGCAGAATTTAACCAAGCAAATGTTGAAAAGCAAGCCTGCACCTGCTGTTTTTAGAAGTTATTCCGATATGAATTCAACTGCTTGGGAGACAGCAGATAACTATTCACAAAATTAGGTAAAGGACCCTTTTCCTTGCCTGCGGGTGTAGGCCCTATTGGGCATTTAGAGCTTGACCTATATTTTGTAGACCAATTGGCTCTTAGTGAGTGATGTGGTCAGCATCACGCAGGCCAATTTTACTTTCCAGGTCTGCACCTAATACCCACTCAAGGCTGGGTCAACCCGGGAGCCAAAATCATTTACTCCTTCAGAACCAGCAGCACTCAGAGATAATTTTGTTGAGTCGTTTGGCTCGTATTGGTCTAAGGGATTCCCCGTGGCCAATATACGATCAACTTATCTCTGGAGTAGGGCAACTCAAGTATTGGCACTACAAAATATGTCATATATATATATATATATATATTTCTAGGCACACTTGGCTGGACACCCCCACTACTTACTAAAGAAAGCCCCCAGGTTATGATAGTTCATTATCATAACCATGTTAACACATATAATGAAGATACATACACATACAACTGCTAAACACTTAAGAAGGTGACATAGAGAAACCTAAGTCAGCCATGAAAAAATGAATGAATGCATGTATTTAGTATAATATCTGTACAAAAAAAAATTGAAGTGAATTCCAGCTATCAGTGAAAGAATTTCAGCACTAATGTCTAGATCCTAAGGAAACTAGGCAGACAGCCGGTCCTGGAGGTGACATCTTCTCATCATGGGACACAGGGAGCTGTGAGGAACACAACATCATGCGAAGCATTAGACTTATCTTCTCTTATCTCTGTCTATGATGCCTCCCTCAGCTCCGGATGATTTGACTGTCTTTGACTCTGGGAATTCTGCTCCACTGGATCAAGTAGCAAGAGTACTTCACTGTACAGCAACTGTACTGGTATCTAGCATGTCTATATCACCAGTAAGGACACACAATGTCTTAGAGCCACATTACTCTGGCACTGGTAGCTGTTTGAGGCACAATCTCCCCCATTTTTGGAGATGTCAGGAACCTTCACAGGTGTTAGCTGGTGGGTAACAAGTTGGTTCTGGTGGTTGGATTGGTGGGTGGATGTTGTTGAGACTGTGAATCTTCTGCCAGCTCTTCAGAAAATATACATCCTGTCAAGAAAATAACTCAACATTAGTCATCATCAAGAGGGTAACATCTTGACAGGAAAGACAGAGCAAGCATAGTCATCAACTCCCATCTGCTGACTCCTCCCTGCTCTCCTGTTTCATTCCTCAGATTGCCTCTCCAGACCAAAAGACATAAGTCTCCTATATTTATCTGTCTGTTTAGTGCAAGAGAAGGCAAGTCAGATATGCAGTGGAGATAGATAAAGTGGTCTAACACATATATCATCTCCCCCTATCCCCCTCACTCTGCACACAAACACCAATATTTACTGTCAGTACCTGCATTCACTAGTTTTCCCAACCGCCCCAGCACTCATTGATCTGGGTCAGTCAAGCACACACATACTTTGATTAACACAGCCCTGACCCAATTCTGTCCCCATCTCGTATGTACAGATTCTGTAAGTAGTTTAAAACGTACACAATTGTAAGGGCATTAAATGTTTATCAGTATGGGTGGTTTATTGAGGGCATAAGCTATTTAGTCTGTACAGTGGAAGATCTACGTTCGAATCCGCTACTCTAGCGATCAAGAATGGTAGAACTAAGTGAGATCACACAGCCGATATGGATTTCTCTACAGCAGTGACTACTTTACAGACAACATTCTAGGTACTCGTAAACTATAATTAACTTACCCAAGCATATGTAAAACT